TCATGGTATTTTATACCTTTAGATTATTGGAAGCAGGAGCAAGTAAAGTCTGTCATTCTTACTCATGGTATTTCTTATCCTTAGATTATTGAAGTCAGCAGCAAGTAATGTCTGTGTCATTCTTACTCATGGTATTTCTTATATTTAGTTTATTGGAAGCAGGAGCAAGTAAAGTCTGTCATTCTTACTCATGGTATTTCTTACGTTTAGTTTATTGGAAGCAGGAGCAAGTAACGTCTGTGTCATTCTTACTCATGGTATTTCTTATGTTTAGTTTATTGGAAGCAGGAGCAAGTAACGTATATGTCATTCTTACTCATGGTATTTCTTACCTTTAGATTATTGGAAGCAGGAGCAAGTAAAGTTTATGCCATTCTTACTCATGGTATTTTTTCTGGGCCAGCCATCTCTAGAATCAACAATGCTAGCTTTGAAGCAGTTGTTGTTACTAACACAATACCTCAAGACAGCCACATGAAGGAATGCAGCAAGATACAGGTAAAGTAGCTATAAACTCTTAAAAGCTATAAAATTCTCATCGGTCTTTTGGTCTTTCAGTAACTGTTATGTTGCTCTTTAAAATTCATCTTTTGTTATAATTTAAAGAGGAACTGAGATCTAGTACAAATAACATAAAACTGCTAAGCAAGTAACTGTGTAGATGATTTATATCAGTACAAAATTGATAACTTTATGATATATATATTTGTATACTACACAACAGATGTGAAAACTGTGATGTGTAGATTAATTAGAAATATTTAAGTTAGTTGTAGAACTATAGGATCCACAGTGTCTGTGAAATAATGTAGTTTATATAAACTAAATATCAGACATGTAGCTGTTTAACCATAGTTAATTTTGTGGTATCATTCTGACTGAATGTGAACAATAAATAATATAGCTAATCAGTATATTTAGATGGAAAACTAACATGTTATTAATATATTTAGATGGAAAACTAACATGTTATTAATATATTTAGATGGAAAACTAACATGTTATTAATATATTTAGATGGAAAACTAACATGTTATTAATATATTTAGATGGAAAACTAGCATGTTATTAATATATTCAGATGTAAAACTAGCATGTTTAATATAACTTATTAATATATTCAGATGGAAAGCTAGCATGTTTAATATAACTTATTAATATATTCAGATGGAAAGCTAGCATGTTTAATATAACTTATTAATATATTCAGATGGAAAGCTAGCATGTTTAATATACACCTGGAAAAAAGTTAAGCACCCCCGTGTTTTTTTCAAGTGATTCAGATTCGACGTTCTTGTGACTGATTATAAATTACCATTC